TGCACGAAACAAAAACAGCAGGTCTGAATGAGACACACTCTCTGACAGCAGGTGGCGCCTATGAACAGGGTTGCCAGGTTTTCGCAATTAAACTAGTCCAATCTCGTTTCAAGGGGGGTTGCCCTGTAAAAATCGCATTGGGGGGTAAAATACATGTTTTTTTTCGGCGGGGATCTTCCAGTAAAATTCACATTCCAGGGACTAAATATCATGTTATTGGGGTCGCTTTAACCCGCGAACATGAACAACAACCCGCGGTAACAGTGTTAAAGTAGCCCAATTCTTAGCAACACTGCTTATGAACCGACAGCAATATAGCGTTTCCTTGTTTACCGCTGTAAACAAAGCAGAGTTGCGCTTTATAAGGAGAAGAAAATGCCATTGCCATCGAAACTTTTCTCAAGACAGTTCCCTTCAGTGATGCATTAATATAACCCCAGAAATGTAGAGCATTTTTGTACTTATTTTACCGGGGTTTTTTTTTTTTTTTTTTTTTTTCGGTATTTACTGGGACCGTGATAAAGATCTACCAGTTGATTGCGTTCGACGGGTTGGCGACCACTGCTTTAGGTGTATGATAAAGTAAACAATAATAGCACGTGCAGTGACCGCCTCTCCCAGGTCCTAACGCCTGTTTGGTAATTAGTCTGTAGGGGGTGCTGTTGGCCTACTTCCAATTCAATTAAAATTAAAATAGCCTACACAAATAACATTTAGACTGTGTTTCTGATTAAATAAAGCAGTAATTGATGTCATAAAATAATGAGTATGTTTTGATTTAAAGGTCAGAAGCTATAGCTTACATGAAAAAAATCACAAACATGACGCTTGTAAATTAAGTAATTTTATTTATACGGATTTATTCATTAATGTGTAATATGTTTTAGTTTTTAAACAAATCATAAGCTCTAAAATATTTTTACAACTCTTTTGCTTTAGACCATCTACAATGTTGAATCTTTAAAATAAAATGTTAGGGTTAACACTGCATCTTTCTGGGGGGGAAATGCAGCGATTGATAGTTTATTTATAGTTATTTTCAAAGCTTCAATGTACTGTCAAAAAAACCTTCATTATTGTTTATTTAATTCTAGCAAATAAGTTGAATTAAAAATATTTTGCTTCTAATTTCTGCACAGGAGAGAGACTTGGTGTTGATTCCAAACAAAAGGAAATATATCGGTATCGGCCAAAATGAGTTAAAATATCGGATATCGGCAAAAATCCAATATCGTGCATCCCTTATTTATATATATATATATATAACACATTAAGGCCAAACAGTTAATTTTGATAATAAGTTACCTTATTGTCACATTTATGAGGAGTGTGGTTATACTAAATCTTTCTTTCAGGGTTCCCATGCTTCTTGAAAGTACTTTAATTTCAGAGATATGGATTCAAGGCCTGGAAAGTACTTGAAAACAAACATAGGTCCTTGAAAGTGCTTGAATTAAATTTGTTTATGCAGGGATTAAAGTTTTCCGTCGCTACGACGGATTTCCGTCAATTGGGGAAAATAAATAAATAATAAATAAATAAACCTGTATCGCGTTGTTGTTGTTGTTGTTCTGCCGGCACACCAAAAATCATTCCTGGCCACGGCTGCAGCTTCTCAGTGACAACATAGTGACGCCGCTCGCATCATTCACAGTCGGGTTTTTAGCAGAGAACACAGAGCAGGACTTGAATTTCAGCGTGGGATTGCGGCTATTAATTACAATTGTACTCATTCCCGCAGGTTCCGCGCTTAAAAGTACGTGCAAATGATACGTTCCGTCATCTGTTATCGTGTTATGAGTCTTGAGAACACACTTCGCGCGCTCTCATTTTCTGTGTGCCCACAGATCGCGATAAGGAGAGTGACAGCTTTTAATAGTTAAGGGAGTTTGCCAATGTGATACTGATTGAATACAACAGTTCAGTAAACAAGTACTGCCTGATTTTGCTCTATTTCTTTAACGCATCTCTAAAAGCAAACACAGCTGAGTTTCATTCATTCAATGAAAGTGCGTTTTTGAA